GTCCAACACAACACAGTGGAAATACTCCAAGCATTGATCGCTATAAGTGGCTGTGGTCAATCGCAATGTGATTAAACAAGACACACTTAACTGAACATTAAATACGACGGCATTGTAAATAAATCAAGTAGTATAATATAAAGCGCCCTGCTCTTTCCATTCCCAATCGTTGTCATTTTGATGATTTTACATTACTATTCTTTTCCCTTGAACTTCAACCCCACAGCACTGTGCTCTATCCAGATATTTCGTACATCTATGCATCATTGTCATCCCTACAGTAAAAAGCTAACACATTTTTATTTCATATACGAAAATACAAAAGTATATATGTTTATCATAAATATGTATTTAAAAGATCAAAAGAGATTTCTTACGAAGAAATGTTCATCGAATTTCCATAAAACGGGCACGCACAGACGTGGAAGCATTCATTGACTAGTCGGCGGCGAACCGCCGCTGTCGTACTGACTCTTATTTCTCAATAAATAACCGGCGAGGAAACTTATAGGATCGGCGGGTCTCTCTTTGGCCAGACATGATAATGCTTGCAGCAATATCGGCACTACGGTCTGATCTAAATACTGTCTGGTTGGAAGAGATTGCACTTCGACACGAGGTTTCTTTGCTGGTACACCAGACAATTCGCCATCCTTATCCATCCCTATCACTTTCTGCAATGAAAAAGAATACAAAGTTTATACATCTATAAACAATTTTTTCAAAAGCATTTAATAATTAAAGAATTGTAATATCTCCGTACATTTTACAAACTGTTGTACGTGTAATTCTTAGTTCCAAAACGCATACTTCGAACTTGCAAAAATATTAATGTTCCAGCACGACAGTTGTTATCAGCTGGCAAACGTCAGATGATAAACACGATAATGACGCTGCTCTGACCGTCTTAAACTGTCAGAGTCCCTAACCTAACCTTTGCGCTGCAAACGCGTGGATTCTTAAATGTATCGCGATTATTGCCGTGGTAGACGCTCGGCGGTAACTCCAACGAAATATCGCCGTATGTTCGTGCGTGCCAGCAGTTGCGACGTTTCTAGGTTATGTGCTCACTTACGTGGGTCGTCTCGGATACGGCATTGGCAACGGGTTGAGCCGGCGTTGACGCCTCCGTCCGTTCCTCGGTCGCGTTTTCTGTCGTTAAAAAAAAAGTAAACAGTGAATGACCGTTATTAGAGCGTGATTTCGAGTATCGGGCCTGGCCGAGTGATGGCCGGACCGGCCCATGGTTACGCGGAAATAGAAAATAAGAACACGTACCACCGCCGGACGCCATCGTGTAAACAATCGTCACTGCCGACCGACCGACCGGACCGAAGTCGAACGTCGAGATAATGTCGCCAACGTCAGGCCGGTAAAATACGCCGTCGACAAGGTAGCGGTTTGAGAATTCGCTACTGTAAATAAAAGGAACCAAAGAAATAAATAATAATAAATAATATTAAATGACAATTGACTGTGAGATATATTCAAATACAAATGAGCGAGAAAGGCTGTCTAGTCAAAACGGCTAATAATACTATTGATACCTTACAATAAAAACTAGTTCTTTAATTTATTGATCAATGAATTAAAAAATGTACGCATTATTTTACGGAGTAGTTGCGTTTGCGCACAGTGAGATTGATCTATCGATAAATTTAAAGAAACTCGTCTTATAATATTTTTATATAAATTTTAGCAAACTGCGCGTTTTAATTATATTGCTCTTGTTGAAACATAATCCTAAATTGAAGCTGGAGTAAGGTAAATTGAGACTAGTTGTGACACTTTTTATTCAAATTACTATAAATCTTTACACAATTTTATGATTGAATAATGAGAATTGTTTTAAAACGTTGCATCACACAATAATTAAGTATTTATAAGTCCTTAATATATTTCGTAAATGAGAAAAAATTTTTGATGATTAAGAGACAAAGTAGCTCAATGAATCGCATGGAGCATTGAGCAATCTCGAAGAATAAATTGAGCCGTGAAGATAATCGTTTAATAAACAAATATATAATGAGGCTCGAAAGAATCTATCAGTGAAAAATGTAAAAAAGCCCATCAGAGCCTACATCAGTTATTCGGATGCACAAAAATTCTTTATTTTTCGTATAAATGTAACGAAATAAATAAAATGTATGTTTCAACCCTTCAATTCGGGTTCTTATCAATATAAAATATAAATCGAAATTACATAATAATTAACGTAAATTCCAAGTTGATGATTCCCGACAATTAGTTCGTTCTTCTTTATCCAAATGCCAAATTAGCTATGTAATGAATAGCCCAATGATTATCAAAATTATTACATTGTACAATAATAATATAAAACTTATATAAAGTAAAATCGAAATTATCATATATACATTGCGTTACTATGTAGAATCACATCGCTCATTAAATTATCAGATTTGCTGTGTAGTCATTAAAAAAATAACACTTAACGAAAATTAGAGAATTATTAAAATCGTTTATCTGAATTTTCTATTATATCTACTCATATATAAGCGTTTTCTCGCGGCTTCACGTAACGGACTTGTGGTGTCGACAGTCAGAGATACAATGAGAGTCAAAATAATAAAGTCAAGTGATTATTGAAATAAAAATAAAACTAAGACTAAAAGAGGGTAACAACAACGTCACAATTCAGTGACGTATTGAATTAAGAACTAATTCCAACGCTTCCAAAAATTCACCATTTGTCATTTACTTCAAAGATGTCATATGAAATGTGTTTAAATTGGGAAGCAGAAAGATTTACTTTAATCGTTTTATTATTTATGTTATTACTCTTCGGTTCTTGGAACCGAAATTTTTTGTGAGAATTGCTGCTAACAACGTCAGGTAATTTACTCTCCGCGATATTTTCTACTACGTAATAAGTAATATCCTTTATTTTTCCTTTGTCACAACCATTTCTTTTTTGTAATCATAAAAACTTTTTGTTTAATCTCCGAGATTCGTTCTTTAAAAATCTATAAAACATCTTATATTGTGTGCTAAAAAATCTGTTACAATATTAACATTACTAATTGTCGGGAATCATCAACTTGGAATTTGCATTAATTATGTAATTTCGATTTATATTTTATCGATAAAGATCCGAATTGAAGGGTTGAAACGTATGTTTGATTTGTTTTGTTACATTCACACGAAAAATAAAGAATTTTTGTGCATCCGAATAGCTGATGTAGGCTCTGATAGACTTTCTTACATTTTTCACTGATCATTTAATAAAATTATATATTATTGTATATTTTAAAAATAAAAGAATGTACATATTAATAAAATCTTTATTGTATCTTATGTATGATAATTTATAATAATTTTTTAATTAACAAAATTTAAAAAACTAAAACTTTACTTTTTTTAAATAAAAATTAAATATATATCTTTAATTATTAATATAAAATAAACAACATCAATAAAGATAGATTTTATTTGAGTACCTGAGTTTATAAGATAGTTATGAGATCTTTGGCCTAACAAATCCCATACCGGTGTCAACTGAAATATTCTTTTATAATTAAAAAACTAAATAAAATAATAATTTGAACATCAAAAAAAATGTACTAATAACTTATATTAAAAAAAAAACACATCTAGTTTTTATCAATCACTTCAATTACCATATAGACCAAAAAAAATATTTACCTAATAATTTTAATTTTGGTGTACGAAAGAGAGCGAAAAAGCGCTCGTGTTCAGCCGTTAACAGATTAATATACAGATTAATATATTCAGCGCCGTAATTTCCGTTTTTGTGCTATTTTACGCAAGTTTATAAACATGTCCGTTTTAGACATTTCTATTTCCTAACTTGCTCCTTGGCTCATAACTAGGCTGCTCTCTACCCTACATGATATTAAAAGTTAATTAATAATTACAAATACGATCGAAACATTATGTATCTCAGTTGACGCTAAATATTCCTGAAATATTCATAAAATGTTTCTAAAATCCTAAAATAATATTTCAAGATTATTCCGGTATATTTCAAAATATTTACAGAATGTCAGAACAATAAATTCAAATAATCGTTAAATATTTCATGTATATTCACATATATCGTCACACACATTCGGAGAATGTTCCATATATATTCCACAAGATTATAATTTTTCCAAAAATTCCAAGTCCCGCAGAATTCATTTTTAAACAAAATTGTACTGTCAAAAACACATTTCATTTATTTTCACCTTGGAACCCAATTTTAAAGGCGAAATGTTACACTTTATATTCTTTCCCATTATGATTCTTATTTACGAGTTAATGCAGCTCTGCCACATTCATCTGTCAGCGGGAATGCGCACTGCTCGCAAATGAGTGATTTTAATGATGTGTACAAGAAACATTCATACAATATCCAAATATTTCATTATTATTTCCTGTTCTGTTCTGAAATATAGGAACCATTTGGAACACAAATTAATTTTATGAATATTTAGCTGGGACAGTGAATAGTGAACAAAATAATGGTAATAATATCTTTATTGAAGCGTATAAATAATAAAAACTATGATTTATTTTAAAAAATAACTTGAAAGAATAAATTGTTCGTTTTAACGTAACTATAATAAATTCGACATACGAAAAACAGAAAAAAACATGTTTAAAAATATTTAGAATGTTACGGTAGTAGCCAGCAGCCAATTTCGAAGCGTTATTTTTTAAAATTGATGCATCGAATTGGTTGACCCAACAAACTTACGACCTGCGAGTCGCATTTTGCGTCTTATGTAAATCGGGCTTATGTCGGTTCTTATATATGCGGAATAACTAGAAGAATTATATTTAAAAAAAATAATTTCATTTATAATAAAAAATAAAGTTGACTTTGAAATCTCTGAAGCGCGTCCTCATCTGCATAAATAAATTCAAAGATATTTAAGATAATAATAGTTATTGAAACACAAATGTTTATAGCAAACATTTCCAGTTTTGTTATAAATAATTGATATAGGATTGAAAAAATACGAATCGACGGATTATTTTAAGGTTTATTTATTCAACGCAAAGTTAGATGCTACAACTTTGGTACAAAAACATAAAATAGTGGCGTTGAGAGGAAACGGTACACTGCGAGCGGATCCTCGAGTCTCCTCGAGCGCGGAGGATGTTGAGCGCGTATTTTTTTTTTTCTTCTTTTTTTCCTTTTCGTTACTTTTCCACTATCAAACGTGAGATCACGTTCCCGCGAATTCTTTCGCACGTACGCGAGGATCGTCAAAAGGACGCGAAGGAAACGCTTCGAGTTTGACAGGCAACGCGATGCGATGGTGAGGAAGGAATGGAAAGGGGTGAGAACACGAGCTCGAAGAACCGCGCTCGCCGTCGTACGAAAAAAGAACAGCCAAATGCTTTCAACGCAATATTATCAATCAAGCATACACAAGCGAGCGACACGCTTCGCGGCGTCCCTCAAAAAAGTAACGTCGAATCTTGCAAAGAATTACTACGCAGTACCTATATATATAACGTCGATCACGAGAAGCGCGACGAGCGAACGATGGGCACGGGGGGTATCCGGCAAGAAAGGCACGAGGACGGCGCGATATATCAATCCTATGAGAATGCTACTGTGTGGTACAAAGCAACCGCGAGTGAGAGATGGATGAAGCGATAAGCAAACATGGACGTAAAATTCTCAGTCTTCGAGTATTACTCTATCGTCATAAACGTTTCAGCTGCGAAAAACATTGAATGTTTAGCCGAAGTTAGAATCGAAGTAGATCGATCAAACTGATTATCTGCACTAAAATGTCCCTCGTTCATCAGCCCCTATTGCCGGTCACCCCGGGCCGCTTACAACATAAACGTTTATCACCTGTGCGACGTCGCGGACGTCCACTTCGCTTAAGACAAAAGTTAAAAACCGCGGCCAAGGTAGCGCGCGGACGTGATCGTATTACTATATACGAATGCATTAATATCATTATCATCATCATTGTTATCATCATTATCGGCCTGTGTGCCGTATATTAGCTCTGGTTAGATTCGGAAGCGATTCGAAGCGACAAAGTTTCGCGGGGGCGAGTTACGTGAGTGGAACGTGATACTGTAAATCGTAAAGGGTGATTTGGGACGAGATACGGCTACGTTAATTACGGTAAGAGCGCGATTGTAACATATACACGAGACACGAGGCTTTTTTGCGCAGCCTTTTAAAATCACATCGATGAGTAAAAGTGCGTCGGCGCGTCGAGCCGCAACCAGTTTCGAGTGGCAGAGGGTAGGAATTCCTCTGCGAGAGCGGAAGCGACGAAGAGACGGACGAAGCACCCTTCAAGCTCTATTCCAACGTTTCGAAAATTCTCTCTTTACAGCCTATATGTGCGTATTTTTTTACAGTTTTTTAATCCACCAACCCACACTTACAGAGGAAAGACATAGTAGCAACAATCTCTCCATATATAATAATAGGTGACAATTGTTCGAGTTTTATATTATGTAGAATTAACGTACGCGCGTATAGTTGAATGATACTATTTTATAGCCATTGCAATTATAAGACAGTACATTCAACTATGTAGATACATTAATTCTACATAACACAAAACCTGTACAGTTACTGTCGCTGTATGCTTGTCTCTGAGTGCAGCGAGTAATAAAAAACGATGGCAGTATCAATTTAGGCCGTACTAATTGCGGCTTGAATGAAATTGCGGCTTTAAAATGTAATTAGCACCAGAATAATGTGATGTCAAATAAATTTCACAAAATATTTCCCTTCGATCGATGCAACAGATTGGATGAAATCAGTTAATGATAACATCAATAAGGAATACAACAATTCACAAGATACAGCTTGTCCGAGTACGGTGAGAGTTAAATACGCGGAGTTAAATATAATTCACGTGATCGTTAATTTTTCGAGAGTGCTTCCTCTGGTCCAGTCGCCCAAGACTGGTAGCCGGCTCGCGCATCGCCTCGGCAAACAAATGCGACACCTAGAAATAGCTACTTACAACGTATGTATGTATATATAGTTAGTGTATATATAATATATATTTATATTTATATTTGTATGTATATATATCTAGAAATAGTATCGTGATAAAAACGAACTATGAGACGCGGCGTCGTGGCCGCGGCGTTGCGCGACGTCGGGCTGGTGCATACGCGAAGAAGCTCGAGAAGCATCCGCTTCGTTCATCGAGCCAGCAAACGATCAATCGTCCGATCGCGGACAGACAGATAGACAGACAGACAGACCAATTCTTCAATTTGCGTCCTGAGGTATACGTTCCGTTAACCAGATCCCGACCTCTCGCCCCGTCGCGAAAATCAACGATCGCCTTCTCGCGACCATCCGTCCGACTTACGAACTATCTACGTTAAATCCAACTTCTTTTATTACTCGAACCGCTTACACCTGTAACGATCATCGTCGCGATGTCAGTGAATCTTACGTACGGTACGTCGCGTATAATTGATCGATAGAAGATTAGGGGGAGGGGGAAGGAGGGAGGGAGGGGGGGGGGGGGGAATAATTAGGTGTATACAGCGGACTAAATATTTATATTATATAGGACGACAGCAAGTGTGGTGTGGCGTATATTGCGTGCACGCGCCAGCGCGCGTGGCGATCCATGTATTGTATATCGTATAATGTTACGAGGCTCTGGTTGGCCTGCCGTGTATATATATATATATCGAAGCGTTCCCTCGATGGCTTGCCGCGTTGTTCTTCCTACGGACAGTCGATCGGTGTTTCGTGTACGGGACTTATCCCCTTTTTCGAGCGAACAATATGGGAATGTCTCGAATCGATCGCCTAAACGGATCCGCTACGAGGACGACGATGACAGCGACGACGAAAGACGAAAATGCGACGACGTACCCTATAAACCTTGCTCTCCGCGACGTCGAGACCACGAGAGACTCAAGATCACCGATCGTCAAGGGGGGCGGGGGGGGGAGAGAGTAAAGGGCGAAAAGGGCGAAAAGGGAGCGGTGGCAAGGGCGGGGACACAACCTTCGTTACGAAATTATAAATCGTACAGTATATGTATATAGTATATGTGTACGTATGTATCTATATATCGTACGCCCGCAGGGAGCGGCAGTGTGGCACAACCATGACTTAAAAAGCGACCAACTAATCTCATGTATACGCATATATGTCGTTTATACGTTTCCTTTCTCTTTCTTCCATTTTTTTTTTCTTTTCCCTTATCCCTCGCAACTCCTGCGACGAATGTAACCTAGGATTATATCCTGGATATATATTGTATATCAGAAGACCCCCCGTTAAATCCACCGTCGCCGAGAGCACCATCGCGGGCCGCGTCTCTGCCGCAACTGAACAGTCCGCGAACACGACTTCCGGCTGTGTTCGCCTTCCTACAGGACAAGTTTCTCTCGCGGCAGTCTCACGAGCCTCCAACATCTCGTGCACGTTCGACGAATATAGTGCGAGAAGATTCAAATTCCCCTCAGTGTCTCCGCTAATCGAAAATATTTCGTCATGCGTGTGTGCGGAGATAGACGATTAATTTGTAAGTTCGTGTCGTCAAGTATACAAATTATTGAGCCTGATTGAGCACGTCATCGAGGAAGACACGTATCAAAACGCAGGTCATTTTCTACAGCTGTCGGTATAAAAAAATTTCAGATGTAATCGAACGTGCGCGAGGAGTTCCAGGACTCGTAAAAAAGTTACGAACGAAGTATGGCTGACCTCACGAATCGCTGTGCCTCCTTCGCAGTAAGGGCAGTAGATACAGACAGTCTTGAGTTTGGCCTTCTCGAATGCGCATAATCGACTAAACCGGTCCAATAAGTTTTTATCAAAAACAAGGCAGTTTCAAGTTGGCCTTCCCCCAGGATCAAATATAAACGAACGTTTCCCGAGGAAGTGACAATGAAGGAGCGGAAGGCCGTGAGCGAGAGAAAGAGAAAAATCGTGTGATATGGTCGCAAGAGCGAAGGAGGCGGTCCCATTTCGCGAGGCGGGCTGCAGAATCCTCGTCCGTAATCATATGATCTCGAGATGATATCAATACGCGTACACCTTACACGGTAATCGAATCTATCTACTCGCGACGACGTCTCTAATTTCTATCGTAAATCGTTGCAAATTGGACCGACGACAGCACCGGGGGAAGAGTTAGCGTGCGCTTCATTTCCGCGTCTCTCGGTTCCTTTCCTCGCGGCCGCCGGCTATCGAGAGAGGCGGAAGACCACGGAAGATGACGATTTACAGGTTACACTGCCACAGTATCGTAGGGTGTGAGGAGTCCCCCGTGACCGCCGTGGGGGCTGCCGGTTTGCCGGCCGGGAGCTTCGTTTCTGCAACAGGAGTTTGCGTTTTTTATATCCGGCGCCGATCGATCATTTTACCCACGCAACAATCCCATTCATTCAAAGAGATCTCTCCCGCGCCATATTTTTATTGTATGTGCAATAAATTTCAAGCAAATTTTTCATTATGTTTATGTTTAGCGTTAACAAAATTTGTTCAGCTTCGTACCACTCCCTTACTTGAAAAGTGACACAACTAAAAAAACATGATTCTCTAGATGTTACTGTAAATGAGTTAGAATAGTTAGATAAACATTACTTTATCAATCGTCAAAAGTGAACTAAAGTAACTTTATAAAAAATTGTTAAAATCATCAAAACTTAAAAAAGGTAGTTAAAAAAATCGTTACATTCAAAAAAGGGTAGCTAAAAAAAATCGTCGCAACCCAAAAAAGAGAATTTTTAAAAATGACAATTCAAAAAGGGTAGTTTTTCAATGATCGTGAAAAAATGACATTTAATCATATTAAAAATACATTCTTTTTCTACAATATCATTCCTTGATTAGTCAATAATTTTCTATTAAATTGAGAAATTGTTTTTCTACTTTTCTGAGAAACTTCATTTTTGTGATTGTATCACTTTTGAAGTAAAAGAACAATATATTATTATAATTGCTATATGAGGAAGAGATCTCTGCAGACAAATTGTACGAAAACATGCGCTAGCAACGATGATGGCAATGGTAATGCTATGAATAAACAAAATATAATAATGACGATTGTAAACATATCAGTCGTTAGCGGCATAAGCAGCTTCGAATAGGATTCGAAAAGCGGTGACAATGGCAACAGCTGCAGTGGAAATACGATCAGCGTATTATCCCTATTGCACATTTTAGCTTTGCATTAGTTACACAACTACACGTTACACATGGCATTATTCATTGAAGCTACATGCGAACACATTTCATGTTAGTAAGCGTTTTCGATGGAGACTGGGGACTTTGTCATGTCCGAAAGCAACGTTTTGAAAGGTCGTCTACTCTGCTCGTCGCAAAACAAATCGGGTAGCCGAACTTCAATGGGATGATGAAAATCAGTGGAAAAATGATATGACGCATCTCAAAAGCTCTTCACATGTCTTTTAACGTTTGTACATCCTGACTTGATTATGTTTAACGAACTTACGGTTTCCTGAGTAATTAGTCATGAAACAAGAAAAGATCAAACGTTCGTTAAATAGATAAATAGTTGGGTATTCGAGGCTCTTCGAAGGTCGAACCACCGTGCACTCGATCGTTGTCAATCGACAATTCAATCGCGCACAAATAATCAAGTATATAGCATAATGAAGATATGTAGCGAGGATGCGAATTGAAAGGATCGGTCGGTAGCGTGATTCTTTAAAGAAATATTGAAAATCATGGAGGCGAATCGGATTGCGGTCTATGCCGCGGTGAGCGATCGTGATACATCGCTCGATTCGGAAAACCGCCCGTGGGACATTTTGTCACGGTACAATACACGGTAATTACAGCTCTCGCGAAAGAAAAAATCGCTCGAGACACAGCGGCAGGAACGGTGTAACGCCATTAAAACCGTTCACCGTTAACCAAGCTCACTCGCGCTCTACTGACCTCTCAATGAGTTTACGCATCTCCTCGGTGGTCATGCCGTCCTTGCCGCGAGCATTCACTGAAATAGAAAAACACACGGCACGATTGACACAACGATTAAACTACTACGACAACACGTAACATGCAATTTGTGGAAAACTATATAAACGATTAGGATTAAAAAAGACAAAAAAAAAAAAGAAAGAAAAACACATAAGTCCACGGCGAGTCTTCTTCATTCGTGACTCGCCCGCCATGCGATACGTCCGCATAATGAGCCGCCGTACGCCTAATAATGCTTAATGCATAATGAAACGAGCATCAGTAAGTAGGGTTGAATCAGAACGAGAGGGAGTTCCTCGAGAGGGAGCATGTCACCGGACGTAAGATTCGAGCGGGAAAGGCGAGCTTTACGAGCTTTACTTCCCCGTCGGATCAGGTCGAGCTTCATGATCTCCCTCGTTCGCTCGTTTCTCTCCGAGCTGTCGTGAATCTTTCTACTGACCGCCGTAGTTGCGGTTGACAAGCTGATCGCGATCACACTCGGCCTCGCTGATCTCGTTGCTCTCCTTGCTATCGTTGAAACTGGAGTTATTCTGATCCTGATGATTTCTCGGCGGCGGTGGAGGCGGTTCCGGCGAGCCAGAGATGGGAAGGTTGCGAGCCGAGCCTACACTACGACGTCCGACCGATCCGCGAGATCCATAATGATCGTAAGGTGCGCCGTATTGTCCGTACTGTGATCCGTACTGGTCTTCCTCGGGAGCGCAGTTAGCCGGATCGTCATATTCGGGTGAAAAGACATTGTGCGTGCCGCTGCCGCCTCCTTGAGATGGTACTCGAGAGTAGCGACCGTTTTGACGAGGCTGTGGAAAAAATCGATCGCGATTCCAGCAGATCCTAATTACATTAGGGATGTATTGTCTCCATTATTCTTTTATCTTTTTCTTTATTTTTTATTTTCCTTTATATATATTTCTCTTTTGCATTTTATGTTACATTGTATATCGTATTGTTGGCTGTTGTTTAAGTAACGTATTTTATTAATAGGATTTTTTCTAAGCCTCTTCACTGCCTGTGATTTAATGCCATTTTTACAAATATCGGAAATCTTTTAATATTTGTAATATAATAATTCGCGAATACGTTGCTTTATTGTTTAAATACGAAAAAGAATTATAAAATACCATAGACTGAGATCCAGAGCGGCTATGAGCAGAAGCGTTAGTCGGATGTCCTACGGGTGGTCCCATAGTGCCAGAATGGCCATTTCCTGGATGAGGGAAGGTTTGGAATTGCATAGCTTTGCTCGGATCCATTTCCTCGCGGAATCCCAATAAATGGAACGTAGCATACGGGCAGATCTCATCCTCCATACCTAAAAATGGACAATCAACCAGGGTAGACTCTGCCACTATAGATGGAAAATCTACGAGACATTGTTGAACAATACAGATTGCTATAAAAATTGCTTCCCGTGTGTAAACTTTTACTTATTAACAGCAATTTCAGCAAATACAGTTTGATTAAGAATGGAATCGAAAGAAATATTTGCAAGCAATCCTTACTATTAATTTTATATGCGTCTTATGTCCAGATTTAAACGACCAAAGAAATTCCTTTTGCTCACTTTAATGCTTCTTCTTTCTTCGATTCTCATTCTATCATTAAACCTTCAAAAATTAATCGTGCGTTAAAAATGTATTTAAATAAATTTGAGTCCGATCATTTTATCGATTATTTACATAATCTTTGTTATACGACATTATACGTAAAATAATGTTATAGTCAAGATTGGAAAGTAACACGTTACTAATTATTATAACATTGTTAGTAATAGATAACAACGTTACATTTCTTTATTTATAACGTTTTAATGGTTATATTCTTGAATGAATATAACTATTATTTTATACGTATGTAAAATATAATATATACATACATATGTATGTAAAACATGAATAAGAAAGTTTTTTTGGCCGATATTGCGATAAATCACTATAGATCTTGTGTTGAATCGATCAGTTAGTGATATTGACAAAGATAATTGAGTCACTCTAAAAAATATGATCGTAAAAATTAGGTAAAACATAACGAAAATGGTAACAACTGTTTTTTAGTATAAACGAATGTTGGTGATAAGTTAAGACATTTTAGGATAAGTAATAAATAACGCGGTAACACACACGCAAGATATTTTTATAAAATAACTTTCGCAATTTTTGCTATAGTCTTCAATTAACTATATTGCGTTCGAATATTTGCTGACAGTACTAAAAATCCATAACATATGTTACGTATAGATTTTCAGTACTGGCAGTGAATATCGCAGTCGTAATCATTTTAATTTTAGTTATCTGATTATTATAGTATAATATAATAATTTTAGTTATTTGATTTAAAATATTCCTCTTATATCCATCCTCTAAAAATCCTAAAAATCGATATGACGGACATAGAGACTTCTATCTTGGAAAAGACAATGCATGAATGAATGTAATTCCTCCCTATATGTGGTTCGTGTTATCTGTCGGCGTGCTATGAGCGCAGGCATGCGGAAACATGCAAACATTGAGAAACAAGACGTGCCGTTAAAGTGATGTGAGGTTTCACGAAACGAGAGGGGACTTACGAAGACCGGCTGGTACGAGCCAGCAACATCGCCGGCTCCGGCCTGCGATTATCAGTCTCTAGGGCGATCGGGCGAATGCCGAATGCCCGTTAACCAAAATTGCTATTACCAACCTCTGTGCGAAAGACCATCCGCGCTGCCCATACGTGGTGGTGGTGGTGGGCATCTCCTGTTGGGCGGGTAGTGACTCAATTCCTCATACATGTGTCGCCTCGGATCCCACGTCGAGTGACTCCTTAATGAGCTAGTTCCACCTATCGAACACATACTACAAAGGTCGTACGACACGCTGGTGCCTATCAAGATTCGTTCCCGCCAACTAATAGCCCTGTTATTCTCTTTAAAGAGTTTAGAGGATTTGAGCTCTGGGGAGAAGGTATTCTTTATTACTAATGTTTGATTAATACGCAAATCGATACAGTCGACACTCGTTAGGCACCAACGGCGTGATAAGCGCAAACAAGGAGAAACGAACGTTATATTTTCGCTGGAGGGGACATACAAACTCGGTAATATACGGTAACGTATATAAGAACATTTCAAAGCATGGCGAACGAAAAAAGAAACTGGCATTGATCGTGTATATGGGTTTTGTCTGGCTTGGGGATCTGTCTGATACTGATTGGGAGCCTATCCTGCGAACCTATGTATGTGCAAATCTCGATGTGTATCCCTTGAGAAAAGATGAAAGAAGGAACTATCGTGCCGATACGACAACAACTAGACAAGTTGAAATTGATCTAAAAGGTAAGTGTTGGCAGTTGGGCTTACTTATAACTGTACCTCGCTTGATACGATCGCAGGTGTTATAATTTGAGCCGGGTACAGGTGGAAGCTTGCGATTCGGGGGTGCGATGTATCCCAATTCATCGCGAAGATCAGATCTGCGTTTGTCCAAGGTAGCGCCGCCAACTCCGGTTTGCTGGTAGACTACGTCGTCTGAAATAAAAACGCTCAATCTAATAATTGTGGATGTACGTACATTTTGATACTTCTGATTTTATTATCGACGAATTGTATTGATTATATATGCCATCACCCACGCTTGTGAAGTAAAAGGAATGCGTAGGAAAGAGGAAAATTCTGAAATTTAATATTCGGAGAGGATTTCAAGACTAGGGTGGTCGACGCGTGGATCGATCGTCAGGAATTATCATTAATATTACGACAATACAAAATATAATATTGTTATGATAATATCTATGACTGACGATTGTGATGACTTTTCTCGATCAGCTAATCAAGAATATCATTAGCATCAGTTTCGTATTGATCTTAGTTTCCCGATGAACCTCCACCGTCTTTATCCGACTTAATAAGTAAAAGTAATTAAAAAAAATTTGTATACATTGTCCCTCGTAATATTTCTCGTCGGCTGAAGAGATACCTCGCAGCCGTGTTTGTTCCGGGCCTCGAGTTCTTCTCGAGAGCGCCACGCAAATGACAACTATTCCTACTATTATAACAACGACCGTCGCGCCAACTGGCACCACCACGTTTACGTCGAGCCAGCTGGGTAACCATGGGAAATACCGTCTCACATCCGCAGTGTTGTCATTACCGCCATTACGTATGGGAGGTGCGATCGTACCTGTTTAAAGAAGAAAATAAATTTATGACGATTACCTTTATCGCTACTGTGACCCTTCCCTCTGAGAACGCAGATCACAATGACGGCAACGATTATTACGAGTATGGCTGCTACCACAGGTACGACCAGATTTAAGTTAGCCATGAAAATTTTCATTGGGTCTTCATCGTTGCTACCACCGTTCACGTCCGGCAGCTCGCGGGCCGGTGCAATGGTGCCTGGAACAGAAAACGTTTCGGCGACCGTTCAATCCAGCCACCATTGGCACCGGCTACGAGGCGCCGCGCTGTGTGTCAGACGACCACCCATACTTACCGCCAGTCACCGTCAAAGTCGCAAATTCATACTCGGCCACGGCGAAACCGGCATTATTGTGAGCCGTAACACGCAAATGGTACCAGCTAGCGGGGTCCAGATCCAATACTACAAAGTTACCGCCTGGTTTGACGTTGTTCGAGACTTGGTTCCATTCCTGCTGCATTCTGAAGAAAACATGCGTCTTTAATTATCGGTCTTAATATTAGATGTTCGTCGTATGATTATCCTTTCATCTTACTTCTTCTTGTGTTCAACAACGAAGTACAACATGGGGCAGCCACCATCTGACCAGGTGCTCAAGTGTAAAGAGATGCTGTTCGTGGATACCTCGATGAATTTCGCCGCTTCGGGGATGATTGGTTTGGAGCCCTTTGTACGTGTGTTTAGAATGTCCGAAGGATCGCCGATTCCAATTCTGCAAGAAAACTCACATGTGTATGAAATTTCTTATTACACAAATTTACTACGATTTTAGCAGTAAAATTACCCGTTATAAGCGGTGACATAAATCTGATATCGGGAACCGCACCACAGATTCTCGAGTGTATATTTCTGTGCTGTGGAGCTGATCTGAACGGTTTCCCAATCGCCAAACTCAGGTTTGTAGTGAATCGTATAGCCATGAATCGGTGCATTGTCCGTGGGATGCGGGCGTAATTTCATCGTCAAAGAGTTGGTGGTGGTGGCGGTAAGAGTAACTTGCGGTGAATGCGGAGGAGCTGTGAAAATATAACATTAATTTTAATATAACGGATAATTGAAATCAGTAACTAGAACTTCCATGTGTTGGAATATTTATGTACCGTGGACGACCAGCTGATGAGTCACGGTATCATGTCCAAAGGAGTTTTCCACGTAACAAGAATATTCTCCAGCGTCCGCGCGATCGACTTCTTTGATAAATAGCGATCCCTCGGGTAATTGTTTCAATCGTTCGGTTGTTTGAAGATTAGCGCCTCGTACCTTCCATGTTACTTCCGGTGCTGGTACACCGACAGTGAGACATGGCAGCTTAACGTCCTCTTTGTATGTTGCAGTGAACTTATCATCGAACGATGCGATCTTGGCCGGTACTGTAAGTAAAGTATGAAACTTACAATACTTTTTAATTTATAATAGACTATGAAAATTTGTAATCGATTCACAAAGTTAATTTGTTACAATTAAATGTGAATTTTGAATGAATAAATTACCTCGAACACTTGGTCCCAAAGTCACAATCTTGGAAGCTTCACCTTCACCAATATTCGTGCTAGCGGTCACCCAAAATTCATATCTTTGTTGCTTGTCTAATCCAGATGCTTCGTGTGTTAGTTGATTTGGTGGTACTTTCTGACTGGTTGGCTCCTCTGCATTGTCCGCTTTTGTGTAAACAGTATACTGAGAAATAACTCCATTAGGTTGGCTGGGTGGACGCCATGAGATAAGAATGGATTCCGAAGACATGACTAAAGCTTTGATAGCAATAGGAGCTTCGGGTGCTGAAAGTAGACACGGAACATGTAGTACGTTCAAAAATATGTGCTTTCACACAATGAATCAATATATTAATTAATTTCTTAATTACCATCTTGCTCAGTTTGGCAGTGAATTGGTGCAGACTTAACGCCGTCTCCTCCAGATGTGAAAGCCAGAACTTGCATGCTGTAGTTGGTATATTTCTTGAGACCGTGCAGGATGGTTTCGCTAGAAGATGTAATCTTAGTGTCTTTCGTATTCTCGTCGTACCACGTATCGGACGGTCCATAGATGACCTAAAGCAAATATTTAAAGATGCTACTGCAAATGATTTTATGCCTCCCTCTCGAGTCATGTTTTTACTAACTTTGTAACCGGTGATAACGCCATTGGCCGCGCTAAGTGGCGGTGACACCCAGGACACTCTGATAGTCTGAGAAGTAAGAGTTGTGCAAGTAGTGTCATGAGGCGGTTGCTCGGGTACGCCTTCTGCGGTATGTTGCCTACGTTCCTCGCTCATTGGTCCGGAGCCGACTTTGTTAAATGCTTGAACGACCACGCCGTACTGGGTGTAAGTCTTGAGGTTTGCGATCTGCAAGTGGTGCTCCTTTATGTCTTCCTTGGAGAAGTCGACAGTCTCAAACATGTACGGCTTGTCCGACGATTGTCTGTATCCAACATAGTAGCCGAGAATCTCACCGTTCCAGTCCTCGCGCGGAGGCGGTTTCCACGTTACCTGATGAAATTTACATTTATTACATATATATTCCCAAACGCTTATACAGTAATAACAACGTTCCAACAATAACATTACGAATGTTGCTGAAACGCTCTGTATATATGGGCTAACTACAACGCAATTGTTCTGCTTACTTTGAGCGTGTGCTGATCGAGAGCATCTACTTTGATGGAAGTTGGCGGGCCAGTAGGTGCTTCTTCTGCGGTGATAATAGTGACCGTGTCAGACGGATCAGATGTGCCAATTTCGTTTTCAGCGACGATTCGAAGATGGTAGGTAGTCGCGGGTCTTAGATTATACACTCCGGCTACGTTCTGTTGCGAGCCAGGTACGAGCACTCGATCAATATCAGTTTCCCAGGAACCCTTGCTGATTTTGTATTCAATAACATATCGTTTAATCGGGCTGTTTCCATCATAAGGTGCGGCCCATGATAATTGTACCGAACGTCCTGATTTATCCAATACTTTAAGACCATATGGAACTTCTGGCACCTCTATAATAAATACAATAAATACATATATAATAAATTGGATCATGACTTTACAAGTTTATCAAACATGTTATGTATAATTATATGAACCAACCTTGTACGATCATATTAATGCTAGTGTCATCACTACCGAAGGCATTCGTGGCTACGCAAGTGAACAAGGCAGAATCGCTTCTTTCGGTTCTTTTGATGCTCAAGTCGGACAGTACTCCGTTAGCCAAGATTTCTTCACGAATAGTATAACGAGGATCGCTCTTCGTATCCAATCTCTTGTTGTTCATGTTCCATAAAATGCCAATTGGTTTTTCTCCTTGCGCCTCGCATTGCAATACAGCCGGTTCTCCACGACGAGCGGTTTGATTTCTTAGTTTAATTTCAAATTGCGGAGGAGCTAAAAAGATATTGCAAAAAGTTGTATAAAACGCAATAGAAATTACAAGATGCAAAACGACTAAACGTGAAATACCTTGAACCGAAATAAGAATGACAGCCGATAAGCCTGATCCAATTCCATTAACAGCCTCACAAAGGTAATAGCCTTCATTAGTCTTTTGTATATTGTTAATAGAGAGAGTGCCATCTTCCACGCTAATGTCAGGATTGCTCAATTTCAAATCGGTATAATCTCCCGGCGTATCCCCTGTAAGATGAAACAGACGTGTATAATAAGTGTATGCAAGTAGAAAGATCTACTATTTGTTAGGCTGCGGTTGCTAGTGTACTTACCAGCAGCTCTCTTCCATGTGACCTGAGGCTTGGGGAATCCGTCGGCTTTGCATTCTACTCGTGCATCAGATCCTTGAGCAAATGCTTTATCGGTAGGTTCCAGGATCCAACGAGGAGGTACTGTTACAGAATAAATAGATTAGTCGCGACGTATTTTTGCGTACATAAGATTGTGCAGTATCCAGGAGCCAGTCGCTTGAAAACTCGAGTCGTTTGCTTTTCAAAAGTCTCAAAACTTATTATTTATAGTAATAAAATTATTATTTTTAATTGATTTAGACAAGTGTATTAATTACAGTAATAGTAGACTATATTGTTTGCTCTCTTTAAGAAATATTCTATGAAATGTAAAGAAACAACAATTAAAAATAAATTTAAAAAATGAGTTTTTGAATTTTGTTAAAATTGAGTGTCTGTATTTAAAATAAGTGAATTGCTGCTTAGAATTTATTCATATATAAACATCAGATATTAGAAATAATTTTAATATTGTTAAATGATGAAGACTCGAATTATGTAGCAATTTTGTCGCATGCAGAACAAAACGCGACACGCTCCTGCTACTGCGATGAATAAAATACACGGCATGCGGGATTCTGAAGTGATTATGCGGGTATCTAATGCATGGAATAGAGAGATAGAAAGTGAAAAAGAGAGAGGAAGAGAAAGAAAGAAAGAAAGAAAAAGAGAGAGAGAGAGAGAGAGAAAGGAGACGCATGCAAAAAAGAGAGACTTTGAAGGAGCCTAACGGCGAGCATGCACGAAGCGCTATCGAATTTGTATTCGAGCACGATACATCATGCTGTAACGCGTTTACTAATAACATTCGATTACGCTCGTTCATGTATATAAATGCATGCGTATTAAGTATCTACGCTACATACGCGTCTACAAAATGAACAAGGCAAAATGTGTGATGAGAGATGGTCAGGGGTGGAGGAGGGGCGTGTTTGGGGGAATCCATTCGTGGGTATAGGGTTATGATGAATTGATCGTGGGGTGAATTCTGAGATGTGGTTGGATGGTCGGTCGGTCATCATAGTACAAGGACGCATTTTAGCGCGAATGGGGGGTACGGTGAGGTATAAATCGACACTCGAACGTACACGAGACGGATCACATGCAACTTGCATGTGAAACCTACGCAATCCTGCGATCACAAAAAGTGGCATTTAAATCGTTTGTACTACGGGAATGGCGAACGCGTTCGTGAAGGATGTAGAAACGCGATGAGATTCGCGTGCGAAAGGAAAGTACATCCTGTCGCGTTATTTCGCCGCAGGGATGATCGAAGCCAACGTAAAAAGTCGCATAAGAGCGGCTGACGATGAGAGCAAAATAAACGAGGGAAAGGCCAACGGTTCGGCAAAAGCTATTGATTCTCAGAGCATCAGAAGGAAACTCGGATTGATCTTCGCTCGCTTGAAATATCGGCAGATACATAGTAAAGAGGAAATTACAGCGGTGAGAAGTAGATATAGGTAGATAGAGACAGACAGAAAGAGAAAGAGAGGCAGAGATAGAAAGTGTGAAAAGAAAGTAGCAAGATATAGCGAGAGAAAGAGTGTACGCGCGAGAAGTTCGTTATCGGTGACAAAAGCAACGCTTTTTGTACAAGTTGAGCTGAGCGCGAGCTCCAACCAACTGAAATTCCAGAAAGCTTTCGCCAACAGGGGAAAAAACACATGATCAGCGTCACAGCAACGATGAATAAAATGCAACCAATCAAGCCTGCACTTAAATACTCGCGTGGGATCCGCGTTTTTTTTTTTTTTTTTTATTATTATTATTATCATTCCGAAATTTCGCTCAACCATCATTATCAACGTCATGTCATTCTCAGTGCTCCGTTCTTTACTCTGGACCTAACCGTGGACTCGTAAGGTTGCCTCGTGGATCGCCCTGCCCGACGGATTACTAGCGACACACGCGTAACGTCCGCTGTGCTCCGGTGTTACCGGCTCGATCAGTAGTATACTCGTCCGTGGGCCGAGTTTCCCGACGCTGAATCCCATGAACTGCGACAATGGTTCGCCCTCGTGGGTCCAGGCGATCTCAATTGGCGTGTCGCCTATCGGTACCATGCATGCCAATTGGGCGGCCTGCCCGGCATAGATCGGTCGGTCTCCAAAATCGAACGGATTGATCCGTGGCAGGACTGCAACGGAATGGCAGATAGATCCAAGTTCCCGTAACGTTCTTCATTCCGGCTTCTTCGCGATCGACGCGAATGATCGTGGTTGATCGTCTGTCGTCATTTGCGTCCGTTTTCTGTAATACGCTCTTCCGTCCAAGAAACTAACGTTGCTTTTTCTCATATTTTTATTCGGCGTGCTGTTATTCTCCGTAGATTGCACGGGAAAAATAATCGATAGCTCTAAACTAATTGCGTTGAAATAATCGGTACTCTCTGGCAGTCCTTCGACTAAATCGACTGACTTCTGTAACCGAGCTGTCGAGATCAGATCAGAGATGAGAGAAGGGATGCGGAGTGATAGAGAACGTGCCAGAGAATGAGAGACAGTTCTGGGCCGGGAGAGAATGGGGGGACACGGCTCATCTCGTAGTAATCGACGCCTCGTACGTGATTCAAACAGACGTGGGCACAAACTACTCTCGCCTATACGAATCAACTAAATAGTTTAACCTCGTTACACGGAAGATAACTCTCTATAGATAGAAAGGAGGAATATGCGTCGAGCAATGCAGATTTCCAGACACACATATCTCGTAATATCATTACAATACAGTTAGGATAGACAGATTGGAGATTTTACGACGTACGTGAAGCGGCAGCAAGGGGCGTAAATCTAACATATCGAAACGCTCTACTGATAGATATAAATATATATATGTGTGTGTGTGTGTATGTAACTACAGCCGAATAAAAGGGTAAACGTACCACTGCTTTCCTCTCAAATAGTAACACGCATACAAAACGGTAGTACTCTCACTACGCGTACGCCCGTTAAACACCATCATGCCGCGCGGTTTCGCTTTGTGTTAAAGAAAATATACGTATATATATATATATATGTATTTTTTATTTTATTCTCTGTCTTTTACTGGATGCTTTTGTGATTGTGTATTCGTATTTCTCTGTACCGTTCACTTTGAGATGGGCGCTGTGCCGAGCACTGCCCGCTGGATTATCGGCGACGCAAGCATACTCCCCGGCGTGTTCCCCCCTGACAGCGGGAATCGTCAGGGCTGAGACTCTATCCCCCAACGCGGTGATACCCACTCCTTCGCCTACCTCTAAATGGCGGCCCTCGAACAACCACTTGAGCGAAATCGGCGTGTCCCCTTTCACGACCGCGCAATGGACGATTATCAGATCGCCGGAGTTGGCCTCGTCGAACGCGAACGGCTGCAGATGTGGAGCGACTGCCGGGAGATAGAGAAACGAATAGAAACTAGAGACAACAGGCAATAATAGACGAAGAGAGAAAGAGAAAAAGAGTAAGAGAGAAAAAGAGAGAGACACACGGGCGAGAATGAATGTCTCGTTTATTGAGGCGAATTTGCGCCGCATGAGACGCAATTAAGACGCGATATCATCGCGAAAGCGATTAGCTCGGTAATTGTAATCGTGACAGCTGCTCTCGTGTCTGACCGCATCAGTAAAAATGGCGATTTCAACCTAAACTTTATCGCATGAAGATCGGTAAGAGCGCGACGGATATTTGAATGAAAATCAATCTTGAAACGAGTGTCTATGGCTACGGGAAAAAGCGGCGGTCTAGGATGACGGATAGGGAAACAGCTTGGATATACGGGATTGAGGAGAATTCGCAGGAATTCAACGAAATATCGAGTAGATCCTTGCGGATCAGAGTATGCACCGTTCACAATGAGATCGGCCGACAGCTCATGCCTGCCGGCAAGGTTTTCCGCGACACACGTGTACGTTCCAGCATGGGTCGCCTGGACGGATCCTATGCTGAGTATGGCGCCACGTCCGCCCAAATCCACGATCGAGATTCCGGAGTGCGGCGAGATCGCATGACCGTTTAAGGTCCAACGGAGCTGCAAGGGTTGATCGCCCTCGACCACTGCGCACGGTACCGTTACTACTTGACCTGAGTTAAGCGGTTCCTCGCCGAACGCGAATGGCAATAATTTTGGAATGACTGGAAGAGAGAAAGAGAAAGAGATCAGAAAAGGAGAGAAAGAGTCTTGAAGCCGCAGGCTACATCAGCACAGGCGGAGATTATTGCGCGATTATTAGATCGGCGAGATAAGAAGTTGTATATTATCTCGTGAAACATCCTCGCTTCATTCGTCCTCTCTTCGTTTCTTCTTATTTCCGATTATTTTAACGTCCGTGTTATGATGAGCGTGTCATTCTTGTATTGTATCAGGACGCTATTTCACTTGTGCGTTTTTGACACAGACTCGAAAAATTTATCGTACGACAAAAACGCACAAATGTAATCCCATCCTAACGCTGTATAATGTTTCGCGATGCTGATCAATAATGAAATCAAAAGAACAGGCAGGTATATTCAAAGAAATTGAGAAAAAAATGTCATGTTCATTTACAACATTTGGTGACTAAAATGACAGTGACGGGCTCTAGAAAACACAGACACACGTCGTGCTACGAGTAATATGAAAAGCGAAGATACGGAGAAACTTAGAGAGAAATAACGGCATAGGATAAAAGTATAAAACGGGAACGAGGCCTTGAGAGACTCGTGAAAAATATCGGAGGGGTGGATAAATCAAATGAGGATAAATTCAGACGAAAGATGGCTAAATACAGAAATGCAAACTGTGGCCATAGGCTTGTCGAAAGATGTACCATTCACGTTTAACATGGCTGAATAAGAGGTCGATCCAGCTGCGTTTGAAGCAACGCAGGTATATTCTCCGGCGTGTCGCGCAGCTACCGATTCGATGATTAGTTGTTTGACGCGCTTTCCAGTATCGGACACGATCACGTCGCCGTGATAAGACTGTATAGGACGACTGTCGAAAATCCACGTGATCTCGAGAGGAAAATCGCCTTTGGTCACTACGCATTGCACCGACACCAGATCTCCGGCATTAACGGGTTCCTCGCCGAAGGAGATCGGTGCTATCTGTGGAGAGACTGCGATACGAAAAAGAAGATAAAATATATGATTCGAAAAAGAAGGACAAATCACGCATAATATCTTGTAAAATCCGATGAATAAACGTGTGTAGATTTCTTAGCCTTGAGAATTCATTCAAAAACGTGAGGAATAGTTTTTGCGATTTTTGCATAAAGATATGAGAGGAATAAAATTGAAGGTAGCTTTGGTTTTTCATGATGTGGATCGATATCCAAGGACCGATAGCTTTAACGATTAAATTTTGTTATTGGAGAGGATAGATTTCGAAATACTTTGCGGGATAAAGTGCTGGCGGTGACACTACGTCTTGACATGCGGCTTTTTTTAAATACCATTGACCGACAAAACGGCGGAACGGCTGACGGATCCGACCAGATTGCTCGCGACGCAGCTATATTCGCCAGCATGACGGGCAGTCACAGATTCAATGGTCAGGACGGACGTTTTTTTCCCGGTATTTGTAATTATCACGTCCGGATGATTGAGACGCGTAATAATTTCGCCATTGAGGTTCCAACGTATTTCGATTGGTAGGTCACCCTTTAAAATGCTACACATTGCAGAAACTTGCTCGCCCCAATTAGCTGGTTCTTCACTGATAGAAAATGGAGCAATTTGCGGGGCGACTGAAAACAATCGCAGAAAATGATCAATATAACGATGTATATAACAAATGTATATAAACTTTTCTTTTGTGTAGATCGATTGGAATCGTAGAATTTATATATGCATCGTCGAGCAAACGTACTCCGCTTTCAACGCTTCCATCGCTTCCTTAATAATCTTAATAATCTTAGGTCGTGCCATTGCTAAATTTTCGTGTTTGTACGTTATCAATTGCCAATTATACCTCACACGACGGGTGGACGGTTAAGACGGTTTTAGAGGAGTGCCGTGTTATCGTTGTATACACGAGGATAGGAGAACAGTTTCGTCTAGGTACGTTATGCTTGCAAGCAGAATCTCAAGCTCAATCTCTCGATCGCAAAGAGGCACTTCATTTCATGTCATGCCAGTACCGTTCACAGCCAAGGTGGCGGAGTAACTCGTCGCTCCGGCAGCATTCGAGGCTGTGCAAGTATACTCCCCAGCGTGTCTCGGACTCGCAGCCTCGATCGTCATTAAACTGACTCGCTTGCTGGTACTCGATATCGATATATCTCCGTAATTCTCCTTGGTGATAGCCTCGCCATTCAACGCCCACGCTATTTCGATCGGCAGGTCTCCCTTCACAACCGTACAAACCGACGAGACCGCTTCGCCCCAATTCGCGGGCTCGTCACTGATCGAGAACGGCGCTATCTGCGGAGCGACTGAAAACGATTTTCCAAAATATGACAGATCTATTTACAGGATAAATCCATTAAGTTCGAACATTTGCGTAGCACACGAGAGAAAAATCATTGCAAAGGTGCCTATTATAGGGAGAATATTATATAGAAAAACCTTTTTCTAGTCGTGATCTAATTCACTATCTTGATATATTTGTTTCATTATTATTTTATATTCTCTTATTAGTATATTTCTATCGCCATATAGATTTTTTCTTCATATAAATAATATAATAATTAATAGATTTTAATTCGGGAAAGATATAAAGATAGGCAAGTTCGGTGAGATAATACCTATTCATGATACCGTTGCTTCGAGCTAACACAATGTGATAAGATAGTGAGATGCAAAACGTCCGCGAATACGCGATAAGGCCAGACGACAGACAAATGTGTCCTCACCATACTCCCCATACTTGATGAAACAACACAAGGGAATGTTGAAAAGATTATAAGCACTGGTGAAGAGATTGAAGGAGATGTGGTGAAAAGGAAGGTTTTGTCGTCGCCCGGCGAAGGAAGAATAGTCGAAATGTCGTCGCCGTATATAGGTACACGTGAACACATGCGCACGATGTTACCGTTCACGGCTAGAGCGGCCGTATGGCTGGAGGCTCCGGCTTTGTTCGACGCGGTGCAAGTATACTCGCCGGCGTGTCTAGCCGCGACAGCATCGATCGACAGGACGCTGAGGCGCTTGCTCTTCGTAATAGTGAACTGATCTGTACTTTCGACGGATATCGGCTCGCTGTTGAATGCCCAGGCAATGTCCATCGGGAAGTCCCCCTTGAGAATGGAACAGGTCGCAGAGATCGCCTCGCCCGAGTTTATTGGCTCGTCGCCGAACGTGAACGGGAAAATCTGCGGAGCAACTGCGATCGCGAGTCGCGCGTGAGAATCGATAAATAACATCCACGTGTTGGTAAAATCCCCTCACGATTCTTACGGTCTTTTTACGATCCTCGTGAGACGGTCGTTGGCAAGCGTAACGATTCACGGCGATTATAGGAACAAGGGTATCGTATCATGAGATTAAGACAATGCGATGAGGCAGGTTTTAATGATCTATGAATCGCAATGATGGATTAGGCAAGTGCTGTACGACGTTTAGCTGACGTGCATATGTGCTTCTGGAAATATGTAGATACCGTTGACGACGAGGATGGTCGAATGGCTGACGTTGCCGGCTCTGTTCGTAGCTACACACGTGTACTCGCCCGCATGCCTCGCGGCCACGGATTCGATGCTGAGAGCACTCATATGTTTATTTATGTTCGTGATCGTAATATCAGAATCGTGTAAACTAATCGGTTTTCCGTTAAACATCCAAACGATCTTTACGGGAAAATCGCCTTTCATAATGGAACACGTCGCCGAAACCATGTCACCCCAATTCGCCGGTCCGTCACTGATCGCGAAAGGCCCTATGTGCGGCGCAACTATAATATTATAATATCATAATAAATCAGAGATCAATTTCATGTTAAATTTAACTTTATCCAAAGTTAATAAAGAACAAATATTGGACTTATAATAATTAAATAGCAGCTTGGAAGTGTCACAATTTTGCTCGTAGAATCAATTCTTTCAACGACACGACGCATCTGAATTATTCCTAGTATTTGCTAAAATAA